TCTTCCCTCTGCTGAAATGGGAAAACATACACAACCATCACCATGAAGGTGGTTTGTTCTTCCTAAACACAAAGTCCTTTTGTTCAGGAGCATCTCACTATGGATTTGAATAGAGTTTGCAAGTCAAAACAAAAAAGAACTTAATGATCCTAAGTGAAGAAAAAAAAAAAATAAACAAGGATTGCTTAATATGCAGACATTTTTAGAAGCATGGATAATCAAAGACATATGCTATCAGGCTAAAATAAATCCTCCCCTACCCCGTGCCCAGCTCTGCCTAATTTTCCAACATCTTTGTTAATTATACACCAAAAGTCTATGTGAGAGATGACATAATTCAGATGGATATTGTGAAAAAGGACCATATGAATTGTAGGATTAAAATGGAGGAAATATAGCCTTAGACAAAGAAATAACGACAATAAACAATAATTTAGTTGAGAATATGAAACCTCCAAGATGTTTCAGAAATTTAGAATTCAGAATTAGGCTGCACACAAAGAATGGAATGCCATCTCTAATCAATTGCAGCTAGAGCAGGGAAGGTTTCTTGTACAAATATTACATATCAATAGATCATTAATGGATGAAAACCCTTTCTGGTTCTACTCCAGGGACATCCCCATAAGTCAACCAGCCAAGGAAAAAAGAAGTAGTTCTTGAACAGAACTTTACCAATTTCAACTCTACCCACTCTTCAGTGCTCTTGGACCAGGTTTTCCCCAGGTGAAGAATTCAAAGAAATGCAAATAGTTCACAGCACATGGCCATTGAAAAGGTCTGGGCCAGCACCGCAGCTCACTAGGCTAAACCTCCACCTTGCGGCGCCAGCACACGGGGTTCTAGTCCCGGTCGGGGCGCCGGATTCTGTCCAGGTTGCCCCTCTTCCAGGCCAGCTCTCTGCTGTGGCCAGGGAGTGCAGTGGAGGATGGCCCAAGTACGTGGGCCCTGCACCCCATGGGAGACCAGGATAAGTACCTGGCTCCCGCCATCGGATCAGCGAGGTGCGCTGGCCGCAGTGCGCCAGCAATGGTGGCCATTGGAGGGTGAACCAACGGCAAAGGAAGACCTTTCTCTCTCTCTCTCTCTCACTGTCCACTCTGCCTGTCAAGATAAAAAAAAAAAAAAGAAAAGAAAAGAAAAGAAAAGGTCTCAACTGATAAAAATCCTGCTGGTTTATATTCAAAGATATACCTATCTGAAAACATAGTTATCTTTTGAAAACCTAGCTATTTTTAAAATAAAAAATACTCTTTTGCAACATCTCTTTTCTGCATTAACAATTTTAAAATACTGGTTCATCATATATGAAATTATATATATTTCATACTGTATGTATGGATGAATTACAAGTATGCATATAGAATGTGTGCAGACTCTATACTATATGCCATATTAATCAGTCAATGCTGCTCCACAATCAATTACTTTATCAGAGGTTTTTACACATTTAAATCAGTCCTAAGGGACAGGTAAAGCAGGTAGCATTCCTCTCTGACACAACTATAAACAAGCATCAGCAATTCTACAGTGACGTTTTTTAGTGACCATTTAGTATAAACTGAAGTAGGCTAGAGCAGGCACTGTGGTACAGCGAATTAAGCCAATTCTTAGGACTTCCACAGCCCATATCAGAATGCACTGGATGAGGACTCATCTTATAGTTCTTAACCAGCTTCCTGCTAAGGCACACCCAGAGAGGCAGTTGGTGATGGTCCAAGTACTTGGGTCCCTGCCACCCACCTGAGAGACTCAAATGGAATTCCTGGCTCCTGATTTTGGCCTGGGTGATGAGTGTCTGTGTGTGTGTGTCATTTGACCTTTCAAATCAATCAATTAATCAATCAATAACTTTTAAAATTTTTGAAAATAAGGCAGGGGCCAGCAATTTGGCATAGAAGGTAAAGCTGCTGCCTACAGAGCTGGCATCACATATAGGTGTCAGTTTGAACCTTGGCTGCTCCACTTCCGATCCAGGTCTCCGCTACAGTCTAGGAAAGCAGTAGAAGATGGCCCAAGTGCTTGGGGCCCTGCAACTGTGTGGGAGACCCAGAAGAAGCTCCTGGCTCCCGGCTCTGCATTGGAACAGCTCTAGCCGTTGCGGCCATTTAAGGAATGAATCAGCAGATGGAAGACCTCTCTCTCTTTCTCACTGCCTCTCTGTAACTGCTTTCCAAATAAATAAATAAATATTTAAAAAAAAGAAAAAGACAAAGAATTAAAATTAAAATAACAAAGAACATCCTCAAACCTGAATTCATAATTTTTTTTTTTATTTGACAGATAAGAGTTAGACAGTGAGAGAGAGAGAGACAGAGAGAAAGGTCTTCCTTCCATTGGTTCACCGCCCAAATGGCTGCTACGGCCAGAGCTAGGCCTATCTGAAGCCAGGAGCCAGGTGCTTCTCCTGGTCCCCAATGCGGGTGCAAGGGCCCAAACACTTGGACCATCCTACACTGCCCTCCCAGGCCACAGCAGAGAGCTGGACTGGAAGAGGAGCAACCAAGACTAGAAAGCAGCACCCATATGGGATGCTGGCGCCGCTAACCAAGTGAGCCATGGCACCGGCCCCAGCTCAATTCATAATTAATCTGCTATACATTACAATGGTCCACAGCAAAAGACATAAACTGGTGCCTAATGCACTAATTTTCCAAGGATTAAAAATAATATGCACATATACAAAATACAATAAATTGGTAAGGCTATATAAGGAATTAGACTTTTATTTAAAATTATCTGTCAGGGACAGCATTGTGGATAAGCCCAGCCTGTGATACCAGCACATCACACTAGAGTTCAAGTCCTAGCTGCTCCACTTCTCTCCAAGGCAACCATGCCTTGGAAAGCACTGGATGATGCTCCATGGAATTGGGCGCTTGGTACCCACATGGGAGACCAAGATGGGAGTTTTCTGGATCCTGGCTTCACCCTGCGACAGCCTGGACCATTGCAGTTATTTGTGGAGTGAACTAGCAGATGAAAAATCTCTTTCTGTCGCTTCCTCCCTCTGTCACTCTGCATTTCAAATAAGAGGATGTTTTTATGTAACTGATAAAACATCAAAAATATGGAAGACAATGTCCTCACACTATGATGTGAGATAATTTATGAAAGGACTAGTCAAGAAAACATTAATGTGAAGATATAAATTAAGAAAATTTAGGGTGTCTAAATGAAAAATCAAAAAATTGAAACAAACAGTATCTGTTACAAGTTCAGTTTCCTATTCACATACAGAATAACTAAAATTGATTACAAGACTCAAATTGGATTTCTTATATATCACCATATCAATGGTTTAATTGGTACTTTCTGTAGTAGACAGGTACTTCCCCATAACCTACCACAAATGACATCCTCATCCTAATCCCAGAAATCTGTGAATATACTATTTTACATGACATTAGAGTTTGTATATTGCATGATATAAAGTGGAGATAACAACATAAGGACTGTAACAAGGATCCTAGGAGCAAAGTCTTGTAGTTGGCTGGTAGCAACAAAACAGGATCTTAGTCCTAAAACAGAAATTAAGGGAATTCAGTGAACTGAAATGAGGGAGGAATTAGGTTCTTTTCCCAGTCTACAGTAAGGAATGCAGCTCCGCAAACACCTTGACAATTGACCTGTGATACAAGCAGCAGCCTACAGCCTACAGTACTATAAGATAATAAATGAACATTGCTTTAAAACACTAAATTTGTGATAATTTGTTATAAGAGCAATAGAAAACTTATATACTCAGAGAAGTACCACCTGGCCAAAACAAAAAGAGATATGCAGACAAAACTGAAAATACTACTACATACAATTAGGACAATTTTTAATAACTGGAGTAAACTGAATATTTCTGTCAAGTAAAATACCCAGAACCAAACAAAAAAATTCATACTCCTCACTAAGAATGAATGAACACAGTTAATTGAACATTTTCTACTTTGCTGATACCAACATTTTAACCAGTATGAGGTATTTCTAACGTAGATATGAAGAATAAATGACATTCCTAATGTGAACTAGTCAGCAAGAGCAGAAAAGATAACCCTCAGATCCTTGTGCCCTGCACCAGTGTACCACGCCTTAACCTGAGAGGCTCTGTCCATTCAGACCCCACTGCTTGCCTCTCTTTCAGAGGCACTGTCCACTTTCCCTCCAGAACTGTGCAAATACAGCTTCAAGACTCACATTATTTTAATTTTTCCCAGAGGTTGAAAGGTCCCATATATGTCAGCACCATGAACTCATTCTCAAGTCTGTAGGACATACATATCTTAATGCACCTCTGTCTTAAGACTCCGAAAAAGAAGTAAACCTAATAGAAAGCACCACCATTTCAAAGATGATGTTTTCCTTTTAAGGTCACAGGGAAAAAGTAATTAAACTGAATAGAAGTTGTTTCTTGTGAATAAAAAACACACCATATGCTAACTAAATTAAATATAGTGGGCAAGAGATGCAAAATTTTATACCACGTTTAACATGAAACATATTTTTGTTATATTACTATACTTTCAGGAAACCCATTTGTGCAATAAGGGCATTACTAATCATTTCTTCTTACCATTATCACTCAACTTCTTGTTAAAATGTTATCAGACACTTCCTTCTGAAAAGGGTCATTTTCTAAGAGAGGAACTAAACTCCAACAAGCAGAGATTCCAGTCTACCAACAAGAAAGATTCAAGAACTATGTGGATTCACAAGAAACTCTTGCAAAAAATTCAGCTGCTGGCCTTGAGAGAAAGCAAATATCCATTGTACAAAATTACCTATCAAGGTTAAAGTGCTCCACATTAATCTAAAAACAGAAAAATGTAGTTATAAGTGGTAATGTAGCCCATTTAAAATGAATGCATGCAGTATGAAATGAACTGCTGTAGTGAGAGTCACACACATTGTTAATGGAGAATTCAATGCTGCACATGATCTTAGATTTTTGCACTATAATAATAAGAATACATATTTAATTTATGCTTTATTTTTGAGATATAACTTACCAATTTAGCAACCTTCCCATAGTCAATCCATCTGACAGTAGCAAAATTTGTAGATTCTGCACAGTTGAAGCCATGATTAAAACCAGCATGGTAGCCATAAGGGAAAGTGATCATAAATTCTCCTGCCTCCTGGGTGATCTGCACAGTGGAAAACACACAATATTTTTCAGTAATAAGACTTCCCAGATTGTGAATACAATTAAAATAAACTTGTTGTCAAATAAAGAAAAAAATGCCACAGTATCATTGCAAGACCAATGTAAAATAGGTTCCCTCAGATTCTTTATTAAAGCCTGTAATTGTCTATTTTCAGGAAATTTTTTTAGAAGATTCTTCTAAGCGGAGGTGACATTCTGTCACTTCACTCACTCAATCCACAATCAAAGGTATTACATCTTATTTCTAAAAAGTCCTCAGGTTCTTCCAATTCATTTGTTTATATTAGCTATGACTGTGAAGTTTTGCATTTGAGTACTTTAATGATTCACATTTCTATGATCAAAATAAAAAAATGTTTTTGAAATTAGAGAAACATGCTGAACAGGTTATGAATTCTTGTTGGTTAAAAAGTATCAACAAATTATTCTTCCATGATACTTAGAAAACACTCAATTAACTGTATTCCATTTAACAGGAAACTTCTATTCAAAGAATTATTCATATGTATATGAATGAATATATTTTAAATACAATTAAGATAACTTGCAAAAACAAGTCTGGCAACATAAGAAATATGTTTTTTTCCTATTTCTTAGACATAAGGTCATATTTTTCTATAGTCACCAAAACAACAAAATATATATCATGAGTTACAGGGAATGCTAAAATTTGGCAACACATTCGGATCTCTATGAAACCCCAATAGAAGTTCTGCTGAAATGAGCAGCAGCTCAGCTGTCACTCAGCAGACAAATATGGGCTTGCCAAGGCTCAACACGGTTCTACTTCCATTGTGCAGAGCCACATGAAGATACAAACCAATTCTCTCTCCTTTCCTGGAGTCACTGAATTTCGCTAATTAGATACTTCTTCCTCATACCATGTAATAAAACAAAACCACTCAACTGTTTCTACCACTATACAGGCACTATCGGAATAAGGAAACTAATGACACTTCTCCACTGAATCCTACCTACAAAGTTTGTGTACCCTACTAAGAAAATCTTGCTCTTGCCATGTTGAAAAAGAGTACCTGGCCAGCATTGTGGTCTAATAGGCTGGCATCCTATATGGGTGCTGGTTTGAGTCCCAGCTGCTCCACTTCCAATCCAGCTCCCTGCTTTTACCCTGGGAAAGCAGAAGCAGGTGGCCCAAGTGCTTGGATCCCTGCAACCACGTGGGAGACCCAGAAGAAACATGGCTCCCGTCCTCAGATCAGCCCAGGTTTGGCCATTGCAGCCTTTTGGGGAGTGAACCAACAGATGAAGATCTCTCTCTCTCCCTCTCTCTCTCTCTCTCTGCCAAACACTGCCTTTCAAATAGATAAATAAATCTTAAAGGGGGGAGGGCAGGGAGAAAGATAGAATACTGTGTATTTTAGGGTTCAGCCATTTCTAGAAACAGGTATTCCCAGTTAGGGAAAATATAGGGCAAACTAAGTGCCATTATGGTGATAAACTGCTAAGAAACTATAGAGTACGGTACATCTACTTAATTAGAAAACACAAACAACCATTACATATATCATAGCATGAAAGAAACTGCAAAGTGTACACAATCTAAAAGCAGACATTAGCTGTTACACAGAGGTTCCATATGTATCTGAATACGTGCAAATACACTGCAAGAATAGAAAATGTATTCCAACTGAGAAATGATTACCTAAAGTGAGAGTGTTGAGGAGGAAGAGTGTTACTATGTTACATACCATGCAGCATCCTTTATGTAGATTACCTCTTTGCATCCACACAATAACTCTATTACATAGTCACAAATATAATACTCATTTTGAGTATAAAGAGACTAAGACTCAAAACAACTGTCATGGAAGCAGGAATGAATTCAGGAGGTTTAATTCCATAGCCTGTGAGATCACACACTCACTACAATATCATCATCAAAGAGGAACCTGACATTACAGTACTTCTCTGCACTCTGGGTCAAGATGGAAAAAAGAAGTGGCAGTATTTCACAAAAGAAGTGCTATTGTCAGTTGGCTAAGTCACTGGTTTTTCACCAAAACAGGACTTAAACTCAACCTGACACTTTCCACGGAAGCCAGGAAATGTTCATGCACAAAGACGAGACGAGAACCTAATGCATCTGAGTGATCTCCCACACAGCACAGGAGAGCTGCAGCCCAGAAACAGAGAGGGCACCTGCCTCCTTCTCCCCCAGATGCTGGAAAAGAGCTCTAAGCTCTAAACCTTTATTCTGAGGGAAATGAAGCACCTTCTTTGCTTTACATAGCCTCCCTCTCTGAAGACCAGCACCAAACCTATTGCCAACACCTAACACTAGCACTAAACCCAAGGAAGAGTTCCTTCTGTCTTTGAGGACAGTTCAATCCTTCTCTTCTGCTTTCTAATATCCTAACTGAAGTAAAAGTGTCTGTCTAATGAAACTTGTATGAACCACTTTATCTTTATTCACAAAAGCCAGGCACCCAGAGGTGTCTGATCTGAGACAAACTCCCACAGAGGCAGTGGCCCCTCACTGGAGACTGCATCTGACCTCTGTTCTCCATACTCGTAGATACTGCTCACCTGTACATGGGCACACTAGCTTTCATAGGCAAAAGTATGTGAATAAGCCAGTGGAGAGAGCAGGTAAGCCTCATCCACAACTGCTGCATGGAGACTGGGAGGAGCTGGAAACATCTCAGCTTGAAGAGTGATTCTTGGCACTTGGAAAAAATTCAACTTTCAATTTACACACACATTCCCCCAAAACAAGGCCACATTAAGGGTCTAAGATTAAGAAGAAGAAAAGATACAGTCACAAGGGAAAAGTTTCTGTGATGGAAAACAATAAGGATGATGGGAAGGAAAGTTGAGTAACATGTAGAGGAGAAAGAGGGGCTAATTTTTATGGTTTCTGGAAGCAACTAAGTATTTAATCCTCCTGAAACTAATAGAGAGTTTTTATTTATCCAGTCAAAAGCTTTTTTTTCAATTTAGTTTCTTCTCAAATTCAAATTCTGTAATAATTCTGACCCCAAACCACCCATGGATACAAAGAATTTAGGTTCTGGTATCTACTGAGTTTTACAGATCTTGATCTTCAGAAACACTCCACAGAGCAATATCTGGTTTTTAAATCATCAGGCAATTTTATCCATTATGAAATCTCAATTGCATTATGTCTTAATGTGTTTAGAAGCAACATAGTGCTGCAATAATCATCAATTCTACCCAGGCCAACTGCTAATAATGTCTCTGAATTTTTTTAAAAAAGATCCCCTATACATAAATTAGGTAGCTGATATAAAATCTTTATAACAAAGGACTACATCTTAGTTTGTAGAATGTGCATGTGTACTATTTTCAGAATTACTATAAGTGAACTATAATACCATGAAACCTCTTAAAAATATATCCTGAAATAAAAACCACTTCAAATTAGAATTTAGAAAAATAAATGATACTATAAAACATGAATTTGAATTTCTCTACCCATGACCTAACAATGCTAATAGAAGTCAAAGATGCATTAGCTTATGTTAAATTCACCTTAAATACAATCATACACACACAAAAAATCAATGTGTGAAAGCGTAATTCTAATATACCTTGTCAAAGGGAATGCCATATTTCTTTAATACTGAAGGAGAAATCAGTGTCATCTTGTGGCGAAGAAATGCATCACACCCTTGAGAGCTACTTGGGAAAAAACCTAAATAGAAACAATAAATACAAGCAGCATTGTGTCAATTAAGTTAAAATTTCAGGCAGCTGTTTTTACGTTAAAGTTCTAGAGTGCTTATAACACTTGGTGCAAGATGAACAAATGGCAAAAATCTTCATACAAAGCATTATTCACAGCCAGAATTCCTAAAAATTAAAGGATATATATTCTTATCATCAAAGACTGATCATCTTTACAAAAAGATTTACCAAGAATTAAGTTTGCACATACAAAGTTACTAACTCTGAGAATCAACTGCATTTTCAAAAACACTGGGATTCAGCATAACAAATATCTGCTAAACAAACAAAGTGACAGAAAGAGAAAGAGTAAAAGATCATCCATCCTCTGATTCACTCTCCAAACGTCCACAAAGCCAGGTGCCCAGAACTCCATCCAAATTTGGGTGGTAAGTACTATAGCAGGTGTATTACCAGAGAGCTGGATCAGAAGCACAGCAACCAGGAGGGACACAAACTGGTAATCAGATATATGATGCCAGCATGGCAGTCCATGGCTTTACCCGCTCCACCATAAGGTTGACCCCTAAACATGCATTTTAATAGAAGAATCTCTCATTTTAACCTCCTAGAAAGGATCATTTCAGAAGCACTATTCCCAATGCCTGATACAAATACACACAGAGCAGTTAACTGCCTGTCTTTGTCTTTCAAATCAGTTTAAAATATACTGCTACTAATTTCCTGAGTCAACTTCCTGGCTAACATCCACCAAATGGTTGGAAACACCCTCACCAATCTGTATAGGAATGGGTTTTGAGGACGCTTTTAAATGAGGAAGCTAAACATGAAGCAACCCTTCATTCGACAGTACATTATGCACCAAGACACAGTTTTCTTCATCACTGTCTCAGGCAGACTCTTATTAACTCAGTGATGCAACCTAAAGGAAAATGAAAATGAATATGCCTGATGGCCTGCTAGTCCCTCCCACAGAGGGAAAACAGCCATGCAGAAGGGAGTAGGAAAGCAACAAGGCAAGGGGAGAAGAAAGAGAAACATGGAGGAGAGCCACAGAGACAGGACACAGAAGGGAGAGCGAAGGGCTAGAAAACACAGATGACACACATGAATAGTGTATGATAAATCCCAGGGTTGTGTCTCTCCCCATGACCCAAACAAAGGTAAAATGGCTGGAAATATGACTAATATAATTCTATGGTTCACTATGTACAACTAAATCAAGACTGTGATCAATCTGATGAAAGAAATCACCAGCACTCATCAACTAATCAGAAATAATATTAGTCACATAGAAGAGAAGCATTTTGCAGGAATATCGTTTAATAAATAAGCCTTTATTGATGTCACCACAGGCATAATGGGGCATGTAAAGCCATAGTTCATGAAAGGAAACAAATCTAAAAGCCAGGAGAGAGTCAGTGGAATATAAGGCAGCACTGGCAAAAAGTACATTCTGCCTAAGCATCTACATATATATTTAAAGGGCATGCAGGGTTGGAGGGATACAGAAAAATATGTGCCTACAGAAATACTATTATAAGAGTAGCAATAAAATGTACAGTTCCATACTATATTAACGACCTTTTTATGGTTAATACTCAAAATACATAAATATGAAGTAAGAGACTACTGAATGGAGAAAATGTACCACACAAACGAATTGCCAAGTTTACAGAATAAAATGTCTAAGTCCTACACACAGAATAAGACACATCTGCATGTCAAAAACTCATAGAAACATTTTAATAACACAATTCAAATGGATCTATCAAACTTTTCAAATCTGTAACTTTGTGTAGAACTAAATGAATTAAGGTTTAAATTAAAATCAATGAAGAAAGCAGAGTCTATTTAATTTTATTTTGATATGGATTTATAATCAGAACCTGAACAATGTGGTGGCTGGTCATAAGTTAATTTAAATTGGAAAAACCACTCAAGGAAGATAATTTGCAATATATTAAGCTTTTCATATTAGCTCAGAATTTATATTTATAAAATGGTATCAATTATATTTTTGGAAAACACCTCATAACACAAATGATGTATAAAACATTTGTCTTAAAATGAACTTTACTTCAAAATATCTGACTGGCAAGCCATTCATACTCACTTTTCCCAACATATTTTATTCAGAATACAAGCTGTGGGGAGCAAACCGGACTAGACTGAGTTACTGGAATTAAGACTTATTCTATGCATCTGCTCTCCCACAATATGGCGCTGGGAGAGAAGTAAACAGCTTCCGCACAGCTGCCTCCAGTTCAACCAATAAACTGTAGGACTTGCTACTGATTGGAGGAGAGCAGCGTACTCGGCGTGTGGGCAGCTGAGTTGGGATTGGCAGAGGAGGACTATAAAGGAGGAGAGAGACGGCATGCACCAGGAACATCTATGGGGAACATCTAAGGGAACCTGTGCAGCCCCCGAGAAGAGCCAGCCGGCGGTGTGCCGCTCCCCTGCGGAAGTGGGGAATGTGGCCAGGGGGAACTGCCCTTCCACGGAGGTGGAAGGGATAGTAGCCAACCCGGGAAGAACCAGCAGCAAACCCGGGGAGGGCCGAGCAGACGAAAGAACAGCGCAGGGTCCTGTGTCGTTCCTCCACGAAGAGGGGGAGCGACATAATGGTGCCGTGACTCGGATATGAAGCCTAGGCAGGGTTTAGTGTCGTTCCTCCATGAAGAGGGGGAGCGACAACAAGCAAGCCAATATAACTAGAATACTACTCACTATAAAAATTACGGTATTTTTAAAGACTTAGAACTGTTTGAGCTAAATAAAATTAGTGTCTTTCATGATAAAATAATCAACTTTGAAGTTACTTATATAGGAAACTTAAGAAAATAAAGCAGCATAGAAAAGATAACATTAAGACAAATAGAATTTTCAGTAAGAGACAATGAAGCATGGTTCAAAACTTTTGCAAGCAAGTTCATTTTGTATTTCAAATCAATTTTCAGTATTTACTTTCTTGAGGTCCTTTTTTAAAATGATTTATTTAAAAGAAATCATCTCTATAGGGAAGATTTTGTTTGTCAGTTGATATGCTGCTTGGTGAGCCCACATACCATGTCAGGGTGCCTGGGTTTGATACCTAGCTCCATTCTTGTTCCAGTTTTTCTGCTAAGGCACACCCTGGGAGGCTGTAGGTGATCATTCAAGTAATTGGGGTCTTTGCCACCCATGTGGGAGACTCAGATTGAGTTCTTGACTCTTACTTTCCACATGGTCCAGCCTTGGTGTTTAGAACATTTGAGGAGTGAAGAAGAAGATAGAAGAGCCTTCCCCTCCCCGCCACTCGCAATGCCTCTCAAAAAATAAAATAAACTTCAATTTATTTTTTAAAAAGAAGTCATCTCTAAAATTTGGCATATTTTAATAAACATTCCATAAGATTTGCCAGTTCACTAAATCATACATACCAATGAGATAGCCACTCTTTCACAATCTTGAGCAACAAGAAATTCTTGTAGGGGCTGGCCCTGTGGTGTAGTAGGTAAAGCTGCTGGCTGCAGTGCCAGCATCCCATATGGGTGCCAATTCAAATCCCAGCTGTTCCACTTCCCATCCAGCTCCCCGCTAATGCACCTGGAAAAGCAGCAGAGGATGGCCCAAGTCCTTGGACCCCAGCACCCATGTTGGAGACCCAGAAGAAGCTCCTAGCTCCTGGCTTCATTCCTGGGATCATTCAGTAAGCAAACCAGCAGATGGAAGATCTCTTTCTCTCTCCCTCTTTCTCCCTGTCTGCCAACCTCTGCTTAACTATAACTCTGCCTTTCAAATAAATAAATAAATTTTCTTAAAAAAAAAAGAAATTCTAATGAAGAAAAACACTGACCCCTAAATCATCTTGCTGTGCCATTGGCTTTAATACCCCACATGCCCTAGCAACTGGCCTTGGCACCCACTATAGAAAAGCCCTCCCCCTGCTGAATAACATTGGGGCAAGTCAAGAGTAGGGGTCCTCAAGCTGAGCTGCTTGAGGTTTTCGTTTTCTTGAGGATTTTGTGAATGCTTTTCATGAATAAAAATCATAATTACATGATGAAGAACCCCTGTGTACACCTAGACAAGGTTCAATGGAACTGAATGACATGAGGATCACCATGAAAAGACAAATGCGCTCAGGTCTCACTGCTGTGAGGATTCCAGAAAGACTGACCTCATAAAAGTAGAGAATAGAGTGTTGCTTCCCAAATACTGAGATGGGGAGGGGAGAGGGAGAAAGAAGCTCAATGTGTACACAGTTTTACATGCACAGTAGGGGTAGGCTCTGAGATCTCTGGCACAGCAGGATTTGTAATAACTGATACTGATGTGTACTGAAACAGAGATAAGAGGGCCCATATCCAGGGTCCTCCTGCATTGTCAGTGGAGATCAACAAGACCACGAGAGCCATGAACTCTAACATCATAGTGTGCACTCAGGTGTGGACTCAAACAGCTACAAAATGGAGCCTGGCAGGAAGACCATGCTGCATGTGCCTTGCATGCCTAGTCTGAGGCCGTGGTTCAGGAGAGAACAATAGTGGGCCAAGTACCTAGGGCTTCTCCCTGAGGTATTCAGGTCATCAGAACACCTGGAAGCACCCTGGTCTTCCATAGCCACCTGTGCAAAGCAGGCATTAGTTAAAAGGAAGGTTGGATGCCTCATACTGAGGGAACGGCCCTTTGGGGCCCATCTGGAGAAGCTGTGGAAATGGGTTCTTCCCTCAACCCTGTTCATCTTCACTTACATGTATCTAGAAGGGGAGGTGGTTCTTAGTTAATGAGTCTTTCAAATCTGATGGGAAAAAGGATGCTCCTCTAGGATGGAACAAAGCTCTTTGGCTATTCTGCATCCTCAAGTACAGAATTGCGGTGGAACATGCTTCAGCTTGAGCAAGTAGTCATTTCATACCCGCATTGCCGCTAAAACTGAGAGTGGGAGAAGTCCTTCCTAGATTGTCTATGACTGAAAGAGCCGCTTATTAGAATTTTGTGGAAATATAGTTTATTTTTCCA